GACTTGGTGTTTACTTCCGCCAAATTCTTCGCCTGAAACGCTCTACAGCAAATAAAACGAATTATAAACACGTCACTTCCTACTCCCTTTGTATCTTAGCTTGGCAAGTAACTGATGTAGTGATGGTTTGACGTTATTTACTAGATTGCTTTGTGCTTTAAAACATATCTATTAGATCTCACTGCGAATCAAATGGTTCATCCATTTTCAGCTTGCTTGAAATTTCAGGTGGAAATTGGTGTAGTTGACAAAATTGCTTATACGCATCAACTTCTTTCCTTGTTTATGAATGTATTCGCATCTCCGTTCATTGGCGCTGTCGGTGCGAAAATAGTAGCCTGGATAATTTCAAAACTGAAAGAAAATAAGAAGAGACAGGTTGGCCGGGCAGGTTCAATAGCACTGTGATAGATGATGCATACTGATTACAGGCATTCATTTTAGTGTCGGTTTATGGTATTTTCATGCTATGCGAGAAGTGCTCTGGTTCTCCAGCACTAGGCATAGTTGTGTTTGGAATCATGTTGAACTCATACAGGTAATTGATGCAAGCAGACTCCTAGTACTTCTAATTTCGTATAGGGAAGACTTTGCTCCGGAAACAACAGAAATGGCTCTTGAATTGTGGGCAGCAATGGGGTACTGGGCAAACAATGTGATTTTCATATTTGCGGGGTTTTGCGTAGGTACTGGAATGTTTACTGAGATTGATGTGAGTTTTGTCCAGATATATGCAAAGATGTGTAAATGTGCACAAGTTTTAGGGAGACGGGAATTACCTAGAGATTAGTTACGAAGACCTTTCCATATTCGTGGAAGGAATGCTGCTAGCACCAACGTTGTTATTTTCTAGAATAGCATCAGTATATCTGTTTTACAAGGTCTCATATCTATACGTACATTCAGTTCAAGTTGACAAAAATTTACAAAGTTTGCCTACTTGTGCACCATTAACAAACCTGAAAAAAGGGCTCTCTAATAACGGTTTGGCTATTGGAAGCGACCGCTCGCGCCTACGACCTAATCTGCTTACACGAGAGGTCTTGGTCATTTTCTAGCCTTGACTAGGTCTCGAAGCCACCTTCGAGCCTGAATCAAGGAGTAGATTTGAATTCGAACCAGCAGGAGCATTGGATGGAAAGGTAATCTTGGGAGTACTGCTGTCAATTTCAGACTTTGGATTTACCATTGTTGGGTTTTTGAATGTACCCAGACCAAAAACTTTTCTTGAACACACAATAGATATGCTTGTTTTTTTT